GGAAACTTGCTCTTTTATGGGGGAACTTGAGGAGATTGGGTGGCTGCCCAAGGCCATACAACTCCAGGGAGAGTCGGGGCCAGGTCCCAGGCGGGCCCCTTGCGTCGTGGCCTCTTCGGGCGTAACAGGAGGGGCTGGGGGCTGTGCTGAGGCCCCTCAAGGACGGTTCTTGATGCTGCTCCGCAGCAGCCGAGGGTCGTTGCACTCCAGCCAAAGGATGGCAGCTGCTTGGGTCTTAACTGGCCACGATCGTGGCAGCCCGCCAGCCCGCTGGTGCTCTCGGGACTGCGGCTTTAAGGCAGATGCCTTTTCTGTATTACAGCTTGGTAGTGTGCGTAAGAAGAAAATTAGAACTTCAGGGGTGCGGCCCCCTCACAGTTACCTGTCTCCCCACCTGCCCCCATCCGCCGTCCCATCCAGCCGGCCACTTGCCGTCCGCCATCCGTCCGTCCTCCTGCCTACCTCCTCGCCCACTCATCTACCTGCCCGCCCTTCCTCCTGATGGCACAGCACCCCGACTGTGCTAGGTGCCAGCCGCTCGACGCCATCGAGAGGAAATGACCGTCGTCTTGTGTACTAGACCGGTAGCTGTTCTTTTTCTCCTGAGCTTTTTAACTTACAGGTTTTTCGTCTGCGTTTAGTATTTTGTGACTTTGTTTTTCATTTCCAAAGGTCTGAAATTCGGGGAGCCACGACAGTCCCTTCTGCAGCTCGGGGTTCTCAGTTTAGGGTCGCGCGCACGGTACTTGAAGCAGCGTCCATCCGGCGGCCACTGCCCGGAAAAGCCGACGGAACTTCCTCGGTTGTCCCCGCTGTGAGTGGCTGTTCCCCCCTCGCCTGCTCCGTGATTCATCACAGATGAAGCTGCTGTTTCCCAGGGGCCCCATAAGCGGCGGAAAATGAGGAAGGAGCCAGCAGAGGCTCTGAGTTACTTAGCAGATTTTATGAACTGCTAATTACCTCATAAAGACTTTCGTTGGGCCGAGCTGATCTGTTCCTGGCCCGGGCTGTTGACATCGCTGTGCCAGCGATGCCTGACCTGCGGCCTCTGACGGACGCAGTGACCGCTCCCTGGGACACGGTGGGTGTCCTTGGGGCGCAGAGCGGAGGGTGCGGGGAGTCAGGGTCGCATCCAGGTCAGCGTCCCCCCACCAAGTGGCCCAGGGCACAGCCGCCACCTGGGCTCGTCCCTTCACCCTGGCTGGGCCATGAGCAGAGCGACCCTGGCATGGACAGCCCCGCCTTGACCCACGTGACCTAGTTGGCACACAGGAGGCCTTGGTCTTCTTACCTGCAAGGTGGGCGGGGGGCGGAGCAAGACCAGAGTCAGGTTGTGGGGGCCCAGATTTAGCACTGCAGCCTTGCTGCACTGCTAACGGGGTCTGGAGGTCCTGAAGCTGCTTCCGAGTGGACCACCCCACACTCACACCCACACTGGAGGCTGGAGCAAATCACAGAAATTCCTAGGAGGCCGCCAGTGAAAGGGCTTTGCCACTTCTGAGTCCTTGAGCCGTCCTCACCAAGAGGACAGAAGTGACCAGAACAGGGGCAGTGAGCAGATGACGAGGTCGAACTGCCCAGCCCAGGTTTCGCGGTGATTCCTCCCCCCAACCCCCCCGGGTCACAGCGGGTCAGACAGGTTCACCTAGCACTGTTGGGGGGGGAGGGGCCTCCTCGGAGAAGCCTTGGGGAAGGGAGGACGTGGGTTGGGCGCGGGAAGCTGGCCGGCTTTTCCTGAGTAGGAGAAGATGGATTCTGAGGACAATGAGAACCAGGAAAACGTGCGGGTGGCGATGATGCCCGACAGCGTCGCAGTGGGTTTCTCAGCGGGGGGAGTTGTCACGGAGATCCCTGGGGGCGCAGGGCCTCTGTTAAGCAGCTGGTAAGGGCGTTGCATTTCTGATGGGGGGTCTGCTATGCCACGTAGATGCTCAGATGTGATTTCCTGGGAACACGTGATGAATTTTCTCATAATAGCCTCATGCTTTAAAAAAAATGTTGCTTCTGTTTATGGAGAAAAACGATGTGTGTTAGACATAAGCTAAGAGCTTTGTATGCTTCGTCCCCCGTAATCCTGCAGCAGCCACAGGGGAAATGCTCTCATTAGTTTTCCTGTTTGAGGATGAGCAAAATGGGGCTCAGAGAGGTTAAGTGAGTGGCCCAAGGTCACACAGCCAGGAAAGGCAGAGAGGACCCTCACTCCGGGGTCTTTGGCCCCATTTTGCCGTGATCCCCGCTGCCTGGGGGGCCACCGTGGTCAGTCTGCCCGAAGCGCTCGGGAGCCAGTTGACCCTGGCCCCCAGGATCTCTGTGTGGCGAGCAGGGAGGGTCCCTCGCTCTCTGCCTGGTTCCACAGTCTGTCCATGATCCAGAGGAACGCACAGACCCACCTCTCCCTATGGCCAGGCGGTGGGCAGGGGTCGCAGCCCAGCCCACGCGCAGGGCACCATAAGTAAGCCGTGTGCCCCCGCCCCGGGCGGGCCAGGAGCGCCAGGCCCTCTGCCCATTTCCGCATCTCGGTGCTTGTTTCAATTTTCAGATAAGCTGGATGCCCGGGGGTGGGGACGAAGTGGGTGCCTTCTCCTCAACTTGCCCAAACCACCCGTTTGAGAAACTTCTCCAGATTTCTGCTGGGGATTAACTACAGGCACGAGACCAACCCCTCCCACCACTGCTGCTCTTTACACCTGTTGCACTGACGCCCTTTGGGGCCGGGCCCAGGGGCCCTCCCCGTGGAGGGAGGAAGCGGGGTGCGGGGCCCCGTCGTGAGAAGCTGGGCAGGTAGGGACAAGGTGCAGGCTGGGGCACCCTGCGAATTGCTTCCAGCCTCTGGCCAGAGGATGATCTAGTTGGAGCTGGGGCCTGAGCTCAGGGCCGCTTGGCTCCCTGGGGAGCCCCTGCAACCTGGCCTGGCCCGCCGGCCTCACGGGTTGGGGGTGGGGGGGCGGGGGGCGGCCACGAGTGGTCATGGGCCAGCTCCCAACACTGCCCTCTGTCCAACACAACACAGAGTCAGGTTCTTAATAAAGTAGAAATAAAGATGGAGGAAAGACAAATGTCGTTCCCTGTAGGGCATGTTCTCGCCCTGAAAGCAGGCTGTCGGGATAACAGACCTGCGGCAATATTCGAACAGCTCAAACAGGCAGTAAATTTCTAGGCTGGAAGAGCCAAGACTTGGGTTTAAAGCAAGGTGGGTTTGACGTACAGGGGGCCTGCTTCTCTCCTGCGTGGGGGTGTTGATGGGTGGGCTTGTTCCGTCCGTGTGAGGTCTAGTGCAGATGCCAGGACTTGGGGTGTCCCCCAGGGTTTTTGTAGGATCTGGGGAACCATTAGCTTTTTGCCAGCTTGTCAACGAGGAATCTGCATTCTTGCTTCGCGAGCATGCACAGATGTCCGTGCACATGTGAGTGTGTGTGCAGGGTGTGTGCAGGGTGTGTGCCGGCGAGGCACGTCCCCCTCTGAGCCTGGGGTGTTTTTAAACATCAGACCCTGCCTGACCAGGGTCAAGCAACCGCTCACACTGCCAGTTGCTTAGAAAAATATCCCATTTCCTTCAGACTCCAGAGGGCAGACATTTAAGTAAATACTTTAATTAAATTACATCCTGTTGCCAAGTCATTTCTTTCAGAAGAGGCGGTAAATGGAATTTCTTCTGGGAAGCTGGACCCTGCCTCCGGATGGCTTTCTGCAGGCGGGGAATGCTGGTCTGGCCACTCTCCACGGCCTGTTTTATTTACGGGGCAGACTCAGCCGGGGGAGAAGCTTGTTTACGGCCAGAGGACGCGAAGCCGAGCGCAGCAGCTGTGGGGGGGCGGCCTTGCCTTCCTGACCGCCCCGTCGCGAGAGGCCGCGCCCTTCACCGGGGGATTAGAGAGCTGGAAAGACTGAGGGCGTGAGGGACAAGCCACGGGCTGTCGGGCAGAGCACCCCACGGCCGGCCGGCCACCCTGTGGTTGGAGCTTTTAGGGAAGGGCCAGGGAGGCCGACCCCGGGGGGCCCCAGGGTGGGGCGCGGCGGCCGGCCGCGGCAGACCCCGGAGTCTTGGTGTGTGCTTGGCTTTGGTGCAGAGGGCTGTGCGGCCTGGCGGTCTGGCGGCCCTGCGTGCCCTGTGGCGGGCGGGTGGCAGCTCTCTGCAGGGACCCAGGGGGCAGGAGCAGAGCCCCCAGGCCTGTGTCCTAGAGGGAGCCTCGATAACGTTCCGGCTCACGTCTGGAAATGGGGCGATGCCGGGAGCCCAGGAGACCCAAGAGCAGGACGGACTGTGGGGCAGCCGCCTGGAGGATGAGGCCGAGCGCCCACGCTCGCTGGGTGCCTGCTCTGTTCGAGGCACCCACAGGTCATCCCGTGTCCGGGGAGGGGGCAAATGCTGGAGGTCAGGAGAGATGCCAGCCGGGGTCAGCGGGGGCCAGCCGGGTGGCCCGGGCAGTGGTGCGGGGGAGAACACGCCCTGCTGAGTGGGTAAAGAGGAAGGGGAGGACCCGGCTGAGGCCAGGGGGCACAGGAGCAGGAGGGGTCACCCGGGCGGGTGGACCAGCAGGCGGGTGGCCCTTGGGCTCGCCCACCCCAGTGAGGCAGCTGCGTCGCCGCGTCCCTCCACCAGCGACCTGCAGCTGCCACACAGGAGTAGGACCCAAGTGACAGTCACTGGTCAGTGATGTCCCCACCTCGATGCTAATGGCCCTCCGTTCCGACAGACGTCCACGTGTGTCAGGGAGCCGCAGCCACTCCCCGGTCACCTCCCTGGCCCTGCTGGGCTCCAGGTTTTGCTGCTCTGGGGACCGGGCTCAGGGAGCGTCAGTGTCTTGCCCGAGGAGAGTCAAGGGGGAAGAACAGCCAGCAGAAGCCGGGACGGTTTTTCACCCGAGTCAGTCAGTCTGCCGGTCACAGGGTGCAGGGCGGGTGCGGGCCGCCCGCCCGTCCTCCCCGAGCCGAGGTGACCGTGTGTGGACACCAGCCCAGTGGCCAGGCCCCCGGCGAGCTCGTGCGCGTTATTCAGTGGTGCGCGGAGGTAAACCTCGGGGAAATGACTCGTTTTCCTTTGTCGGGACCTGGGTGAAAGTCCCCGCTGTGTGGCCCAGAGGGGCTGATCCAGCCGTTGAAGTGCAAAATAGACAAACGCGAGAAAACACGCAGGATCTGGGGCCCCGGGGACCCAGCCAGGCCCAGTGTGCGGCGCCTTGGGGGGTCAGGGCCGCTCCTACCAGCGCCCGGAAGCGCCTCCAGGAGCCCAGAGGGAGGGGCAGAGCGGGCAGAAGTACAGCTTGAAGCCCAGGCCCCGAGATGCCCCCCAGAGGTCTCGCCCGCGAGAGGCACTAGAGGTGCCCGCCTCGTCGGGCGGCGCCCCCCACCCCCGCCCAGGAAGGGGTGCTGCTGATGGCTTTCCTTCTCCCTGGTTTGGGGGACAGCCCCCTGCTGTCCGGAGAGCCTTAGGTTGAAGGGGCTCAGGGAGCAGAAAGGACAGACGTTCCCAGAGGGGCCACACGGGGCCTGGAGCTGGTCACCTGGCCGAGCCCTCGGCAGGTGAGCGCCGGCCTGCCCCGTGCCGTCCCATGGCCCGCGCCCACACGCGGCCCTGTGGTGTAACAGGCAGGGCCAGAGCGGCAGAACTTCTCCGGGCCGCGCTGTGGCCCCTCTGGGAACTTAGATGACCCCTGACCGTCTCGGGCTTTTCCCTGTCTGCCGGACCGTCCTTCCGGCCCGCTGGGCTCCCCGCGACCCTCAGCGTGCCTTGCCCGGGCCTTCTCTGCTAACTCTGGGGCCGGCCCGAGTCTGCTCTGGGAAGTCCAGCCTGTGCTCTCGGGGCCGGCCGCTGTGGACGGAGCCTGTTCACGGTCTGGGCAAGCGTCGGGCCCTCGGAGCTCGGCCGCGTCATCTCCTCTCCCTGAAAATCCCGCTCTGCCGAGCACGGAGGGCCCTCCTCTCCGAGGGGCTGCGTCGGCATAGGTCAGACAGCTCCGCAGCGCCCCCCTGTACCCCCACAGTCAGCCTGCCCTTTCACCCCCTCACCAGGGGCCCAGGCCTCCTCCTAAGGCAAAGTCCAGTTATTTAGCCACTGTCGTGAGCGGGCATTGCTGCAGGGGCCGCAGTGTACCCCGCTCGGGGAGGGTGAAGTCAACTGCTCTCTGCGGGCCCTTCCTGGCCTGAGTCCTGTGACTCTGTGGGTGCGTAGCCCCCCACCCTGTGCTGGGCCAGGAAGCACCAGTTTTGTGGTAAAAGCGGGTTTCTTTCCTTGAGCGGCCGGGCGAGGTGGGGGCTGAGGAGTGTCCCGAGACTGTGTGCGGGGTGTGCACGTGCCAGACCCCAGTTCTCTTGCTCCCTGGTGACCAGGGACCTGTTATCTCAGTGAGTCACTTCCCTGGGTCTGAGTGCGGCGTCTTACTCACAACGGGGAGGTCCCAGCTTTCCCTGGGGTGCTGCCACGGGGCCCGCTCCTGGTCACGGCCGTGCGCACCAAGCCCCTCACTGGGGCCTGCACCCCATCGTCCAGTGCCAAGCACTGTGTGGTCCTGCCAGAGGAGACACTTGTCTGTGGCCTGAGTTGGGGGAAAGCTGTGGTTACTCATTAGCCCCAGAGGGTCCCCACGCCCAGAGGCTGGTGCTTGGTGACATTTGGAAAGAAAAGGCCAAATTGGCTGTGCAACCTGCTTTCTGTGCTAAATCCAGGCACCTTTCTATGAGACTCAGTAATTCTTGCTTCCTGTTTTATGTGCTGTAATTGGCAGGTCACGTGTATTAGTTTAAGGTATAAATAATGATTTGACACCTGGGTGTCTTACAGATGACAGGCGCTGTTGGTTTGGATGACACCCATCACCTTACAATTAGTGTTTTCCTTGTGAAGAGAACTTTTTCAGGTCCTGTCTCTCACCAACTCCCAATATACACACGGTGCAGCCAACGACAGTCACCCTGCTGCACTTAATGTCCCCAAGATCTGTCCTGTTACCGGCGTGAAACTGACAGCCCCGAGAAGACACGCCTGGGAGCCGTCAGGGCTGAGCCCGCCTCTCGCGCGCGGCCTTGGTCAGGGTGGAACCAGGTCGACTTCGGGATTCCTAGCAGGTGCGGGGCGCCTGGTTCCCTGCGAGCGCGCGTGGGCAGGTGCACTGCCCTCACCTGGCAGGTGTTTATCCAGAGCGTCACCCTGCTGAGCAGGCCTGTGGGACCGGAAGGGAGACCCAAGTGAGAAGTAAGACTCTGTGCCAGGGCTGAGAAACGCTGACCTCGGAGGTGAGGCCAGGGCACAGGAATCAAATAATTAAGCGAACTGCACACAGCACTAGATCAGTGGATGGGCGGCCAGAGGCTAAACTGCCCAGTAAGGATTCAGAGTCAGGGGTGGCCAGGCCGGTAAACTGCCCAGTAAGGATTCAGAGTCAGGGGCGGCCAAGCCGGTAAACTGCCCAGTAAGGATTCAGAGTCAGGGGCGGCCAGGCCGGTAAACTGCCCAGTAAGGATTCAGAGTCAGGGGCGGCCAGGCCGGTAAACTGCCCAGTAAGGATTCAGAGTCAGGGGCGG